GTATATTAGAAATTGAAGGCATCAACAGTGAAGCCATTATGTGTCCCCTCCTCTTTTTGACTCACTCAGCCTGATGATCTCCTGTACATTATCAATACATTACTTTATTGAAACAGGTTCCAGATGTTTCTGTCATAAGATTTCGCTAGATTAACAAAGTTAAGGATAACGTTTGTACAACTATTTGTTTTGTTTTTTCGTTCGATTTCTAATCTATAGTGTTTTCGAATTTGAGCGAAAAAGTATTCCATTAGGGTTGTTCAATTGGATGGGGCTTGCTCTTCCAATGCGTTTTAAACCCATCTTGTTTCATTCTCGCTTACTTTAGCAACGTACCGAAGCCATAAAATAAATAACTGTTCTCGTGCTAACCTTCTGGTTTGTGTAGTACTTAGACAATCTAAAAAGAACCCATAAAATAAAAAACTGTTCTCGTGCAATCCTTTTGCTTTGTGTAGTACTTAGACAATCTAAAAAGAAGCTCAATCAAGTTGGACCAAATTTTGCAAAATGAGAAACTAGTTATCTTCTGGGTCAACCCGTCCAAGACGAGATTGGACAAGCACAAGGACTTTCATGTCATCATAACAACTTCCAATCTTGTGGATATAGGATTTATGAAATGATACGAATATAAGACATAGAGTTTTTGGATAAAAGAAATGAAAGGAAGATGGGAAAATGAGAAAGTTGACCTTGGGTTTGAGGATGCCGTACTTTCTGAACTGTTCCCTCACAACTCTGTTGTATATGAAAGCTGCTCCTCTGAATTGCGGCAGAACCAACCATGCCACCAAAACTAGCTTCGCCGTGTACCATATCGGTATCCTATTCATATTTTCACAAATTTTTCCATTTCTTTTTATTCTTTCCATAACAAACCATATAACAAATAGTAAAAGACAGATATTATAATTGTTACCACTCTAGGAGAGACTGAAGGATGAGTTCCGAGAGACTAAGGAAAGAGTAGAGAATCCAATAAGCAAGCCACTGCTCGTCGTCTACTTTAGATGGGCTCTCTATGGCTATCACGGACGCGTATCTTACCCATATCACACAAACAAAAAAATCGAAAAACTAAATTAAAATCTTTAAAATAAAACAAACTAAAAAAAAATATGTAAAAGAAACGATAGGAAATTACTTACAACGGATAAAGCAGCATCACAACGGGCCTATAGAAAACAAAACACGAAATCAAATTACATTACTTTCTAGTAACGAAATGGAAATTATTCTTCTCAAAGAACAATCAAACTAAAAATAGAAGCAAAACTAAATAAAATAGAGAAACCTGATATGAAAAAGAAATAAAAAAAATAATAGAAGACGAGAAGAAGAATAAAAAATACCCAGCCAGGGAATGAAGAGCAGAGAGTAAAGTCCATAATTTACTCATTTTTAAGCGGAACACAACAAATGAAAACCAATCAAACGAAGAAATCTAAGAGAAGTTTCGAAGGGGTCTTGTTTTCTGAAACAACAAAACCAGAGTTGAAGGAGATCAACAAAGATCTTCGTATTTATATTAATAACTGTCTTAAACATTAAACGGTTAAGCACAATTTGGTTTAACCCGTGGTTCTAACCAAGACAATTGGTTTTGTTTACCAAAATACTAAACCGATGAAATTAGTAGTCTTTTGAGTACTCCGTGATATGGGTAAGCCATTATCATTTGGGAAGTAGACAAGTAGTCTGGTTAAATTGCCAAATGCCAAAATAAGCAAGCCACTGCTCGTCGTCTACTTGTCTACTTCCCATTTGGCATTTTGGTCAGAGTCGAGTTAGTTAGTCTGGTTAAATTATGTGGTTCGGTTTGCGTTGGTTTGGTTTTGGGCGAAAAAGTCGGAGGGTATCGGATGCTAACTTGAGCGTGTCCGACATGGCACCGGCCAATAGAGGCCAGATGTCGGTGGCTTTATTGTGAGTTTCCATGCTTTTACCTATTATTTATGTATCATTAACTATTTATAAGTCGGCAAAAACAAACCTATTTATAAAATCAGTGTAACTATATTTGAACCAAATTAAACCAAAACTAACTAGTATTAAATGTGCCAAGTATATATTATTTACATACACAATTATAATAATACTAGAATAGTTTCCGTGTTGATACACGGATAAACGCATTAAAAAATATTAGGAACAAATGCAAAAATATCACTTTTAGCGTGTATATTTGTAAAAATGTCACTTAAGGATGTCCATTTGTAAAAATGTCACTTAAGGGTGTCCATTTGCAAAAATGCCACTAATTATGGATTTTTAAAACTTAAATCTTTAAATTATAAATAGTAAAAAATGTTTTGACCCCTGAGATCCCTAAAACCTTCCAAAACTAAATTTTAATACAATATAAGTAACCCGAACATAAATGATATAATGATTTTTTTTTTGTTGAAAAAGTGGCATTTTTGAAAAATGACATTTTTTGAAATTTCTCAAAATATTAATATCAAAATTTAAGTTTTAATTAGTAAACCATTTAATTACAAAAATATTTTGAAATATTTAAAAATGGATCTCAAACCATTAAAATTTAATTTATATCTTAATTTTCATATCCTAATTCATATTATGCGGGCCGAAAAATATATATATATACATAAATGGAATTCAAATCATATTCTTAATAACAAAAAAAAATATTCTTACAAATTATGAATTTATATTAACTATATGATAAAAGGGGCAATTACAATAATGCCACTTTTTGAGTGCACATTTGCAAGAATGCCACTTAGGGGTGTCCATTTACGAAAATACCACT